GTCTGAGCTACAGACCCCATGGAGGGTCTGAGCTAGTGATGCCATGGCCATTTGGGCGAGCTAAGTGAACTGTTTAGTTTTTATTTAAGACCTTCATTTAGTTTGGAGGTGGGGTCAAATAGAAGGAATAGGTTTTGTGGGAGAGGGAAATTTAATGAATCCCCTAACCTGGTTTGTGTGTTTACAGTGAATTGCTTTTAATAATTTGCAGTAGATTTCCTTAGACAGTTGCCGTGGTGGGCTTGAGTTATAAATTGTCCAATAAGTTCGATCTAGCTCCAGGTTGGATCCTTCTCCCGTTTTGGGAGATTTAATGAAATAAAAAGTCGTTATTTTCAGCTCAGTGTCCCTTGCCCAGACGTGGGTTACTGGGGCCCCACCCTGAAGCCAGGCCTAGGGAAGGGCTCATCAGCGAGCGCCTGGCGACCAACCCATGGGGCCCGGTCGGGCTCAGCCTGAATAAGTAACATGGGTTTGCCTTCCTGTGGACCCACCATCTGCAGGAGGGACCATACAAGTGTAGCGCATGATACCATGGAGCAGTGACCAAAGATGTGGGGCGTTGGCGCTCTGGCCATGGCGACTAGATATAGTTGGTCTCACCGCGACGCACAGCATGGGCTCTGGAACCGATCTCCTTGAGAGGGGCTGGACCTTATTCCACTGTGGAGTTGCCCATGGTGAGAGGTGCCAAGCTGGTGTGGGTCTACTCTTAGCCCCCTGACTTGGTGCCTGTGTGTTGGAGTTTTCCCCGGTAGTATAGCTTCCCTGCACCTTTAGGTGGGGCGACGGGCTCTGGCTGTTGTTTGTGCCTACGCACCGAACGGCAGTTCAGAGTATCCGGCCTTCTTGGAATCCTTGGAGTGGGTGCTGGAAGGTCCACCAACTGGGGACTCCTTTATTCTGCTGGGGGACTTCAATGACCGTGTGGGTAATGACAGTGTGACCTGGAGGAACGGCCTCTCTGATCTGAACCCGAGTGGTGTTCTGTTGTTGGACTTCTATGCTAGTCATAGTTTGTCCATCATGAACACCATGTTCTAACTTAAGGGTGTCCATAAGTGCACTTGGCACCAGGACGCCCGAGGTCGTAGATCGATGATTGACTTTGTAGTCGTGTTATCTGATTTTCGGCCGTTTGTTTTGGACACTCGGGTGAAGAGAGGAGCTGAGCTGTCAACTGATCACCACCTTCAAGTTCAAGTTGTATTTGTTTGTCATATGCAGGTTAACACAAGGTTAACAGCACAATGAAATGCTCAGGATGAGAAGAAACGATTTGACTCGCTAAAAATCAAAGAACAAAGGAATAATACTAAAGCACCTGGTAGTGAGTTGGATCAGACGGGGGAAGATGCCGGACAGACCTGGTAGACCCAAACGTGTACTGAGAGTTTACTGGGAACGCCTGGCAGAAGAACCCGTCAGAAAGATCTTCGACTCAAACCTCTGGGAGAGCTTTAGCTGCATCCCAGCTGAGGCGGGGGACATTGAGGACCATGTTCAATGCCTCAATTGTTGAAGTAGCTGCCTTGAGTTGTGGCTTGTGTTGTGGGTGCTTCTTGCAGTGGCCATCCTCAAACTCGGTGGTGGACACTGTGGGTTAGGGAGGCTGTCAAGCTGAAGGAGTCCTATTGGTCCTTGTTGGTTGGTGGGACTCTGGAGGCAGCTGAGGAGTACTGGTAGACCAAGCGGTCTGCAGCCTTGGCTGTTGCTGAAGCAAAAGCTCTGATGTGGGAGGAGTTCAGTGAGACCTTGGATAGAGACTCTTGGTCAGCTCTGAGATTCTGGCAAACCACAGGCGGCTGAGGGGAAAGCAGCTCTTTACCTCTGTGTTCAGTGAAGGTGGGGTGCTGTTGACATCAACCAGTGGTGTTTTGGGGAGGTGGAAGGAGTACTTCTCGGACCTTCTTAATGCCACCAGCATGTCTTCTATGGAGGAAGCTGAATCGAGGGTTGTTCTATCTAGAACCATGGCTGAGATCACGAGGTAGTTGGTAGGTAATTGCTTTGTGGCGGCAGGGCTCCAGGGGTAGATGAGCTTCACCCTGACTTTTCTTGATCATCAGTTATTTGCCATGAGCTGCATGTTGAGCTCCCAGTGACCAGTTTGAGAGAGATGACACCAAATTTAACACACCTGCTCCCCATTCACATGAGACCTTGTAACGCTAACGAGTCACAAGACACTGGGGAGGGGAAATGGCTAACTGGGCAGTGTGGGCATTATCACTCAGGGCGGATTCAGTTTAGTTTCCAGAGGTTTAGACATTAATGGCTGTGTTACTTTGAGGAAACAGAACATTTACACAGTTTTACAAGCTGTACGGACTACTTTACATCGTATCAAAGTGTCATATCTTCAGTATTGTTCCATGAAAAGATACATTTACAAAAATGTGAGGGGTGTATCCACTTGTGTATGTTTATATATATATAGATGTGTATGTTTATACATATATATATAAAATAAAAGTTTTTGGCTGCTCCCTTCTTCAGACCCGTCTTGTCTAACCTCTGTGCCAACACGCCCTGTATTTATATGTTTATATATACACATCTATGGTTGGTGTGGTGGCCATCTTGGATTTTGACGTAGCAACTCAAGTTTTAATCGTGACCTTTCTGACCCCTAGATGCAGCCACATAATAATGGAAGTTGGCATTTCCTTTACGTCTTACGTTCTCTTGCTCACATGCACAAACAGACGGATGAACAGCATTTCCAACTCTCACCTTTTTCTGTGATGAGGGATTAAAAATATCTTATTTAAGCAGTTATGTCAGGTGATAAATGAGGTCGTACAGTTAACGGACGAGGGTTAAAGTAAAAGCCTTGTTGGCAAACATCCACTGAACAAACTAATCCTCTGACTTTCACTAACATGACGTCACTGCTTTGACCTTGTTCTCAGTTCTGACTTTGCAGATGGACGCAACGTTGAACTGTGAAGACTTCCCATCACGTCTTCAGGTGGAGGCTAAAAATAAAGACCTCTAATATGAGCAAGTAAAAAACAAAGACGAAATGCAGATTTAATGGCATTTGATGTATTTTAACACTTTTCCAAATACATGCCTCTTACAAAACAACATCGGTGCAGCTTTAAAAAAAGAAGCATCGGAGACGACTCACACCAGATCTGCTCCTGCCGGGCTTCAGATCGAGGATATTTTGGCAGAAGAGTCGCCACGGTGAAGTCGCTTCAGTCAATTTGTTCACCGAGGTGCACAGCTGATGTTGGAGCACATCTGGAGTTTAAATTTACTACAACATAGTTATATATATACCATGTGGACTTTAGACCCCCAGAACAAGTAGGGCACAAAGATCAGAGCCATATTTATACAGAATAATAACAATTCTTGATATTTACTAAAAACTACACTTAGGTTTTCATATTTTCTTCAGAGAAATTTCAATATCTTTATATAGTGGGATTTATTTATTCATGTTGATCTCACTGAACAAGGAACTTAAATATTTACAGCGATTACTTTACAGCCATTGGCAGCGCCTGCAGAGATGTGACGCTTCTTTCATGTGGTCATGAAGGAGGGAGGAGAGGAGCAATCCCAGTGATGGACACTGATGACGACACTGGTCCCAGAGCGGGTCCAAGACCACCAGAACTCTGAACCGCTCAGACCTTCATGCTTCAGGAGGATCAGAACCACCCTGTCCAGTTCATAGCATGAAGATAAATTAGTCTCAAAAGTTACCTCACAAGCTTACAGGTATCGTACGAGTGCAGTAAGACCCACAGGTGTACAAGTCTGGAGACGGACCAGCTGATTGTGACTTGTACTTTAATGCTGCATTCAAGGCTGGCGAAAAGATGGGACATCTGAGCCTTACCAGATGTGCTGTTAATGGGAAAAGGCTCATTTCTAACTTGGCACAGTAGCTCATAGCCTCTGTATTAAAACACACGGATGTTACTAGATTCGAAAAAAGTTAATTTTGTGGACTGTAAGGAAATAAGTACCAGTAATCTGAAATTAGCTTAACTTTTAGGTTATATGTTTTATATTTTAATTTTTTTTAATTACTGGTAAAATACATTTTTCCAGTAGTTTTTCCACAAGACTGATAACGCACCCATTCTTGATGTTTTTTTTTTTTTTCAGCCGTACAGTCCTCACAATGAACAATTTCTTCGTGTGGAAAAATTACCGGAGAAATATATTTTCCAGTTCAGAATATCCTGATGCATTCTCAATAATCCAGGTTGAAAATTAAAAAAAAAAAAGTTACGTCTGGTCCTCTGGACATTCAACAAACAAAATCAAAAGAAACGTTTCTACCTTTTATTTTTTGAATGTCCAGAGGACCAGACGTAACTTTTTTATATATATTTTCCAGTATTTTTTGCTGAGGAAGAAAATATTGTGAAATATTTGTTCACTAGTTTTTGCAAAGAATATCTGAACCATTCTGAGTATTGATTTTAATTCAGTTCACAAACAAAAATCACTGAAAATTCTAATTTTCCGGTCGTTTTTCCACAAGAAACAAAGTGCAGTACAACTGTGTATCTTGTAGTACGCATTTGTAGAACTTGTGGATCTTAATATTCCTAACAGAGCACTTTGCTCTCAGACTGCAGGTTTACTTGTGGTTCCTAGAGTTTCCAAAAGCAGAATGGGAAACTTCCAGTTTCTGTCTGTGAGGCTGACACATTGTCCAGTTTAAAGACTGGGACTTTCCTTTTTGGTAAATCCTATAGTTAGGGTTGGCTTGGGTTTCCTGAGCTGTCCCTTTAGTTATGCTGCTATAGGCTTAGACTGCTGGAGGACAAACTGACCACATGTCCTCTCTCTGCTGCGTCTTTACTTACTCTGCCTGTTTGTATTTATTTCCATCTTGACATGTTTTTTTGTCTTTCCTCCTATAGAAACCACACCTGGACTATAGGAACCACATCTGGACTATAGGAACCACACCTGGACTATAGGAACCACACCATAGAAACCACACCTGAACCATAGAAACCACACCTGGACTATAGGAACCACACCTGGACCATAGAAACCACACCTGGACTATAGAAACCACCCCTGGACCCGTCATTCTGTGTCCGTTTCTACTTCCTGAAAACAATTCTTGTACGCTCGTGTATTAATGAGACTAACTCTTCTTCATGACTGAGCTGTGCACGTCACTGGTTCCCTCCCCCGTCCTGCTGGGGTGCACACTGTTCACTCCCTCCTGTTTGTGGGACATTTGCAGTTTGTGTCTCTGTCTGATTAATACCCCCCCCCCCCCCCCCCCCCCCCCCACACCGACGACCGCGCCGGCCCCCCCCCCCACGGGTCTACATGAGCAGGATCTGTCCCAGCACCATTCTGAACTGCTGTGTGCACCCCGCCAGCTCCCCCACCCTCTCCGTCATCTCTCTGGCTGCTCCGGGGGAGGGATACTGCAGCGCTGCTGTTTTGGTGCTGATCACGATGTCTTTGAGTTTCTCACACAGGGTGTTGCTGCTCTGGGCCACCCGGGCCCTCACCTCGGGACACTTGGCCTGCCGTGATAACGTGTCGCCTATGAACACCAGCTTGTGCGCGCTGAGGATGACGAACTTGCTGTGAGCCACAAAGATCTTTGGCGGCTGGTTGGAGTTGACGGCGGTGAAGAAGGCATCGATGGCGTTGTTCACGGTGGTGACGTTCTGCTCGCACTGCTCCTGGTAGAAGAGGAGGAGCTGGCGATCCCCGTGGCACAGCTTGGAGGGTGCAGGGTCTCCGGGGCTGTTCTTGGACGACGGTTTGGCCAGAGGACGGTGCGGGGCGGGGGCCCAGCCGGTCAGGTCGTTGTTGATCGGCCGGCTGACTTCCTGCTCGAGCCACTCGAACTGTTTAATCTTAAAAACAAAGAAAACAAGATCAATACCGAACGGTAAATTCAGTGTTTGGGGATTCATGTGTGGATAAAAGAATTAAATCACGGTATGACTGACGATAATGAGGTCATTTAATTGAGCTCTTCATGTTGTGATGAGGGCCCTCTTCAGTGGGTGCTAGGGTGTGTGCACGCTTCTGAAGGCTGCCTGGCTCAAGGGTTTGAACCTGCCTGAGCCCAGCAGATTTATTCTGCTCGTTTTGCTTTGCGCTGCAGACACTTTGGCCTCCGGTGAATCTGATGACCCAGCGTTATTTCAGATTCATCCGTTTTCTGCATCGTTTCCAGGAGTCGAGCATCCGACCCCCAACAAGATCTGGTCATGTGACATTTTAGTTGTTTTGGTCGGAGCCGAGGCCGGTGGAGCTCTGAAAACTCTTCATGTTGTTTTTACAGAAATCTGAGTCGGAAACAAATCATCCCACTGCGCAGCAGAACTTTCCCAGTGTCCACAGGCACATCAAGAAAAGTGCATGTGCACAGAAATGTTCAGATTTATCAAACCATGTGCGCACGTTGCAAACCTTCATACGTCAAGACGACCGTGGAACTGAGCGCACACGAAACTCCTCCCCCTTTGAACATGTAAATAGATGCAGATGTCCTGCATGAGGTATTCTCGTCCGCACGATCAAAAATAAAATCCAGATGTAGTAAAATGAGGGATTGATTATAATCTGAGTCTAAGATGCTGCTGAACATGGTAGATATGATAGGAGATCATCTCTCTCCAGTTTTAGCTTCTCTCCATTGGCTCCCTGTCAAATCCAGAACTGAATTCAAAATCTTACTTCTAACCTACAAAGCTCTCAACAACCTAGCTGCATCTTATATTACAGATCTTATTGTTCCATATTTTACTAACAGAGCACTTCTCTCTCAGACTGCAGGTTTACTTGTGGTTCCTAGAGTTTCCAGCAGCAGAATGGGAGGAAGATCTTCCAGTTCTCAGGCTCCTCTCTTGTGGAACCAACTTCCAGTTTCTGTCCGTGAGACTGACACATTGTCCAGTTTGAAGACTTTCCTTTTTGATAAATCCTATAGTTAGGGTCAGCTTGGGTTTCCTGAGCTGTCCCTTAGTTCTGCTGCTATAGGCTTAGACTGCTGGAGGACAAATTGACCACGTCCTCTCTCTGCTGTCTTTACTTGCTCTACTCTTCCTGTTTGTATTTATTTTCATCTTAACATGTTTTTTGTCTTTCCTCCTATAGAAACCACACCTGGACTATAGAAACCACACCTGGATCTGTTATTCTGTGTCTGTTTCTACTTCCTGTCCTCTCCGTTTCTACTTCCTGTCCTCTCCGTTTCTACTTCCTGTCCTCTCAAACGAGCTGGTTGAAGCAGATGTCCTCTCGTCCTGATCCTGGTTCTTCTGGAGGTTTCTTCCTGTTAAAGGGAGTTTTTCTTCCCACTGTCTCCTCTGTTCTTGCTCAGGATGAGACTGTGATGAAGTGAAGGTTCAACTCCATCTGCTGCTTCCTCACATGGAGAGCTTTGTCTTTTATAATGTTTGTCAGTGTTTCTGTTCAGTGTCCTGAGTCGACTCATGTTGTGACTTGTTGCTACAGAAATAAGGTGAATTGAATTAAACGAGTTAGTGAGGTGTAAAAATGGAGACTGGAGCTCTATTTCTGTACATTCAGCTGAGTTTGAGGTTTGATCCTGTGGACTGACTAAGTACACTTTCATGCAGCGTTCATTTTGTTACTTCCTGCCATGCGTAGAACCGGGCTCCAGCCGTACATGAGGCTGTGACGTCTTCAGAGGAAAGTCCAGTCCAGATCAGTCTCGTGGTTCTGTACAGTACCGGCCGTGGCAGCAGTCGGAGCATTAAGAGACTAAAGTTCTTCTGGACTTGAAAGATCAACTCATTTATTCTTCTTTCTGTGCTCATCTTACTCAGACGGTTTTACTTTTATTAGAAAATAAAATATTTGTTTTTATTTTTATTTTCATTTATGGTGTTGCCAATAAACACGACTGTTTTTGACCAAGTCTAACTAATCTTTCAAATGCTCCCACGGAATCACTCTTCTCTTGTTCCTTGGGGGGAATCAACCCATTGAAATCCATGAAAGAAACTTTTCTGTATCTGAATTTATCATAAATATACATTTAGTTTCTACTTTGAACTTCCATGTGTGTGTCAGCCCAGCAGGTGGCGCTGTGCCGTCACGTTGAGGGACCTGTGACGTCATCGGGCAGGTAAAGGTGCCTGGTTTGCAGCTGCAGGTTGTAAAGTCCAGACTAAAGTCATGACATCTGTTTAGGTTTGAATGTAAAAAGCAACAACACACCTGCGTCGTGCACGAGTACATGTTCTTCTTTCAGCTGCTCCTTCTTCAGGGGTCACCACAGAGAACTAACTCACACCAAGACCTGGTGACTGAAGAAGGAGCAGCCGAAAGAAGAAGAATAAAAATATCTAAGATGGTCAGTCCGTTCCCTCAGGAACGACGAGTCATAAAGTTCAAAGAGAAACGGAGGTTTTAATTCAAGTCTTTCTGTGCTCCGAAGACAAACAGGAAGTGGACAGGTAGGAACACACGAGTACCTGCTGCTGCTCCAGTTGTGTCTTGTTGTGTCGGATGATGTTGCCTTTCTCCAGCAGCTCTCTTTGGTTCTTCTCGAACTCTTCTTTCCCCTGACAGAGCGACACAGAGATGTTACACGGAGCAAGCCTCGCTCGCCCTGCAGCTCGAGTCTGTCGCTCTCTGCTGGTCACAAACAGCTGTTTCTGCCTCGGCCTGACCGACAGTCCTGAACACAGACCCGCGACTACACGGAGACGGTCAACGAGGACCGTCTGACGAAGCGTCCGACTGATGCTGCCACACACAAACTTCATACCCAACTTCCAACAGAAGGCGGCGACTTAAAGCTGCTTCTCAAACCGAGCGCAGTGAGAAGGTGAGAGCTGAAAACACTTGGGTACAGCCTGAAGAAACAAAAGGCCTGTCTGCCTGTGGTGGCGTGTGTTCCTCACACAAACTGCTGAAAACACACGACAACAAAAGGACCGAGCTCAAGTCCACAGGGGAATGGCATTTTGTGGACATGCAAAGGTTTGAGACTCTGGAACCTGGTTTTGTAAAATCTTCTAAAACTGCATATACGTGGCCCAGAGTGAGAAAATCTTGAAACGCCACTGTTGCATTTTCGTGTGGACAGCCAGACCACACCTGGTGTCACATTTCCACCTCATCATATCCTGCACTACTTCAACAGACAGGTCTGACAACAACTTTGCATGGAGCCAAGAAGAAACCTTTAGTTATTTGGTGCAATAATAGAAACAGTGGAGTGCTTTACCCAGCCGTCCCTCTGGAGACTCTGATGGACCTTTATGTCCACATACCTGGACTGACTGACTCCTGATTAGTAGGAGTTATACGTGACACAAAGTAGACACTCGTTTGATCAGTCCATAAAAAATGTTCAGTTTTTGCTCTTTTATTCTCCATTTACTTTATCTAGACTTTACAGTTTGAAGCTTCTCCTTCTGGTGCCACCTGACGGTCACTACAGCGTGTGGGTTGTTTTCTATATTTCTGAGTTAATTAAGACATGTCCAGAAACGGTTCTGTTTTTACAAAGGACAGACGGTGTTCTCATGTGCACAGGGCCTAATATCCCTAACATGAAAACTAGTTGTGGTTAATAAACTACCCGTGACTCAAACACGACTTATTCATTTATTTACCTTATATGACAGATCTTATTGTTCCATATTTTACTAACAGAGCACTTCACTCTCGGACTGCAGGTTTACTTGTGGTTCCTAGAGTTTCCAGCAGCAGAATGGAGGAAGATCTTTCAGTTCTCAGGCTCCTCTCTTGTGGAACCAACTAACAGTTTCTGTCCGTGAGGCTGACACATTGTCCAGTTTGAAGACTGGGATTAAGACTTTCTTTTTTGATAAATCCTATAGTTAGGGTTGGCTTGGGTTTCCTGAGCTGTCCCTTAGTTCTGCTGCTATAGGCTTAGACTGCTGGAGGACAAACTGACCTCATTTCCTCTCTCTGCTGATGTCTTTACTTACTCTGCCTGTTTGTAATTATTTCCATCTTAACATGTTTTTGTCTTTCCTCCTATAGAAAATACACCTGAACTATAGAAAGTACACCTGGACCATATAATGTACACCTGAACTATAGAAAGTACACCTGGACCATAGAAAGTACACCTGGACCATATAAAGTACACCTGGACCATATAAAGTACACCTGGACTATAGAAAGTACACCTAGACCATA